TGAGATGGAGGCTGGCTGCTAGTTAGGTCAAGAGGAGATGTTTATATTAGGTTAGAGTAATCTAGTGCAAGCAAGCGCACGGTACAAGCACATTTTAGGCAATAATATCATGCCATGTGTCAAATTTATATATAATTAAATAATAGGCGGTTCGGTTCAGGTCCACCGGTTCAAAAAAATTTGGAACCGAGGGCCGAACCGTTGACTTTGGTTCGGGTCAGGTCCAACGTTGACTTTTTTGGTTTGGTCAAAAAAACCTTATTTTTCGATCCAGTTTGGTTTGGTTCGGTCGGTTCATTCGGTTCATCGATTTTTATGCCCACCCCTAATTGGAGCCTTGTATGCTGCTCACAATGCGGTATGTGGAATTTAAAGATTGTGCTAAAAGATGGAGCTTGTTTGATCCTCAAAAAGCAACAAGAAATTGCGAACCGCCTTTTTACTTATAAGCTAGGTAGGCTACACGAGCATCAGAAATTGTGGCGCGACGCTCTCAATTTCATCAGGAGGAATATTTCTATGTTACATAGTTTCATGTAGTCACTTCCATTAGGAAAATTATTGGGGATTCATTATTATACCCAATATAACAAAGAGGCTTTTAATTTCTTATAAATTACAAAACATCCATCGATTTCTTAAAAGAAGCTCAACCTCAAAATCTCATAAAAAACCCAAAACAATCAATAGGGCATTAAACTAATTTAATAATCAAAATTAAATTCAATAGGGCCAACTGTCATTTTTTTTATTTTCTGAGTTTGTTTATAAAAATTAAATGGTGTAGGATTTATCTATATCATTAGTGTTAAGAATGGGTATATGATTAAATATCTCTAAAATATCTGTCCACAAAATTTTCAGAGGCATGGCATGCGTATCTGTAACCTAATTGCAAGCACACTGTGCTAACTCACACCAGCCACATCTTATGATTATAAAAGTAGCAGAAGGAAAAACCACGCTTTGTAAAGCACAGAGCAAAAGAGCCGCCAATATTACAGGATGAACTTGAATATACGGTGTTCGGATCCAAAAATAGAAAATAAAAGGAAAGTACAGAGTACAGAGTGAAAATGCTGTCCAGAAATTTGCTGCAGCATAAACCACACCAGAAACATGATGCCTCTTTAAACTAGAAGAAATAGTTTCAGAGGTGCAAACTGCAGCAAGCATGTAATTCCGGGAAACTACAGCAAGTTACTCACTTGCATTTGCACGACCAACCATGTTGAGCATATGACGGTCCTCCTTAAATCTCTCCAATACAGAACCTTTTCTGCCATCATGTTTTTCTTCGTCTGCTACTTTAGTAACCACTCCCCAGCATTCTATCACTTCTGGGTATATTTGGTTGGTCTTGGAGAGGCAAGGGGAACCAAATGTGGTACAGGAGAAAGTGTGCCCCTGATCTAAGGTGGCCGAAAGGAAAAGGCCAAAGTGATTCACTTTTCCTCCAAAACCGATACCATTTGGGATGCTTGCTGAACTGAAATTCACAGCACACTGCCAGTACACAAAATAACATGTTCTTTACAAAATAATAAAGCAATTCATGGTCCATAGAAACTAACTTATTTACAAAGCTGAACCTCTGTTACAATGTGATGCAGTTCAGTTCATGACTCTAAAACTTGGAGGCAACTAAGAAACCAAAGGCATTCCTCATCCAAATGGATAAACATAATGAAGAGAAATATATGGTGTTTTCTCTATTTCAGAGCAGTATAACTTATAAGATCAAGTAGCAACTCACCCACTGTAGGTTAGTGTTTGCTCCAGTAGGCCTGAATATAGATGCCGTGGGATACAATTGGAAAAGAAATGACTTCAAATCTCCATAGAAATCACCATGCCTCTCCCATGGCTGCGAAGCATAAGCTCCATATACATAACCTTTTTTGTCCTTGATAATGAGTACAGTCGGCCCCTTATCCTTTCTGCAGTTCATTGAACAATTACTCATTCCAGCCCAAATTAGTTGCAGCAACCGACAAGACTGAAATTAAAATAGGAAAAGCTTTTAGCACTCTATCTTAATATGGGAAAAAGGCCAAGTATAAGCATTTAACAGAGCATTGCCATGGTCCTTATACATGATTTGAGGAGTGAACATAGGCTTTAGAGTCCCCTTCAATTCACATTCCACACATTCTAAACCAGAAAAGGTTATATTATTTAGGACTTTTGCTCATGTACTATCCAAGAAGGCACCAATTAACTCTCCCCCTTAAACTCTAAAAGTAAACCTACAATAGCCAATGCTACCACAGTGGTTGTGGCCCTCCCCCTTCCCCACTGCTTGGCACCCATCCATGTTCATGCCAATGCGGGGTTTCTTTCCTCCCAATGTAACCAAAAAAAAATGTATACCTACAACTCTAAAGCCTATGTTCACTCTCAGAACAGTGATAAAATCACAACACTGCAAGGACATATTCAACTCAACAGACAAAAGAATATAATTTGATTAAGTGATTCAAAAAAGAAATAAAAGTATTAAGAGTATAAGAAAGATACTCACGATACGTTGCCCAAAAATGTGCTAAAGCTCAGACCATTTACAGAACTATGGTATAAAAGTTTCCATTCCTCCAGATCATGCTGCGGAAGGATTCCTCCTATATGCCAAGCATACACCTTCTTTAATAGAATCATATTCGGATCGATGTTTTCCAAATGCAATAATCGAGGAACCTGAGAACCTGGTCTTCCTACAAGGAAAGGTAATTTCAAAAATTATGGTACAAGGAAAGGTAATTTCAAAAATTATGGAAGGGCAAAACAAACTTCAGATTCTCCCAAACTATTTGGGAAAACACTTTAGAATGCAAAACCAACAAATAAAACAAATGGTAAGCCAGAGGATACAAATGAAGGAATTTGAGCAGACCACCTTGATTAGGCGGTATCAATAAGCTTCCAAGGAACTTCCTGACAGATGGGAGAAGAGTACACCAAGTTCTGAAATCTTCAAAAGACAAGCTTTCTTCGGCATGTCCTTCGTCATGCTTAGCGAACTTTGCAGCATTAAGAAATATATTCACAGTCTCGTGATGTGCACTTGATCCATGTTCGGAGTTGTCCATATTGAAGATGTTGTCAAGCATTGCAACCAGAACACATTCCAGATCAGACCTGAATTTAAATTCTTAATATCATATACATAAAAGGAACAGAAAGACTGGTATTTTCTTAATGCATTTATAACTAGGAATCACCAAATTCTTCCATCCTTTCAGCAGCCACAGTAACAAGTAAAACCAAGTCATGCAATATATATATATATATATATCTCATGTTATCTGTTATTTCTAAGAACTTCAGATCATTGCAATGGCTACTTGCATATTTCTGTTCAACAAACCGGAACAAATATGATACTTCAAAACTCACTAAAACTCAACAACATCAACTAAACTACTTGACACGCAACAACTGATTATGTAAAATAAGACAGGATAAGATCAAATCAAATACTTCTATAAATTACAATCAAAACATAAAACCAACTGCCTTAGAGTATAAAACTATATCCTATCATTCTCGCTACACTATCGTACGTAAAAGATCGAATTCTACCTCCCCACAATGCCATCCCCGGATACGTCTAATAACTGATGTATGAATTCTTCAATCTCATCTTTTGTTCCCTTCTCATAAATCCCCTGCAACACACACAAGGAAGCAAAAAGAGCAAGTGGGCAGATGAAAAAACTAAACAATACCAGATATATACAGCAAATTCACAAGTTTTTTCTTTCAAGTAAATTACTTTGGCAATAACGAGGTCTTCGAAGGTGAGTTTTTGGTCTTTGCGTTGCTGGGTAACTAAGTCGAACATCCTATCTCCAAGAGGACCACGAAGTCCAAAATAATTCTGTGAAGGCATAAAGCTACGTCTAATTAGAGAGGAAATATCATATCACAACAAAATAATTGAAATTCACGGAAATTGAGAGAGCAGCAGTGAAGCAAAATGACCTTAAAAACTGAGGGAGAGACGTATGGACCGTTGCTCTGAGATTGAGCAGCCAGGGACGCGTGCAGGGACTTGAGAGCTTCGAGTTCCGTATGAGAAAAAGCTCTGCAATCATTTCAAAATCAATCAATTCCCTGTCTTTGTTTGCCAAAGTGTGTGTATACAATTACAGAGAGAGAAACCTGGAGGAGGAAGCAAAGCGAGGATCTCCGTGAGATGAAGGTGACTGAGAGTTGCCCATTTTTCTGTTTTCCGTCTTCACTCTGCACTCTGCAATACGAAAAATCTAGATTGACATTTATACTTTTTCGTGGAAAATTTCCAATTAGGTGCTTGTACTTCGCGCTATTTTAGAATTCACCTAATTCTTTTTGCTAATTACATATGTTATAGGAAGTTTGGGATTGGGAAAAAACGAAATCAACTTTTTCTTTTTGTTGTTTAATTTATTTTTTATTATATGGGAGGGAGATTCAAACTTTTAAGACATCGTCCAACCAACTCTTCAAACTCACAAGTTTGATTTTTTCTAACTTATTCAAAATTTATATTACAATAGTCTTACACTTGACAAGAAAGTGAATATTCATTTCAAAACTTTGATTTTCTTAACTTATGTAATTTGTGAATGATTACATACCTAAAATTTAAGTTTGCTAATAATTATATGTAATAATCGTGTGTTCAATACATGCATTGTAATGTTTATATGATCACTAATTTTCCTCAATTTTTTATGTCACATTCCCTTTAAAATGATAATAATTTTAACTGGATACGACTTTCAAAACTATTTTGTATAGCTAGTGTGGATCAATCAAATAGAGAATATTAAAAAAAAATTAATGGCAAGGATATGATTAGAGAACTAAAATATGGATAAAGAAGAATAAATAAAGTCATGCGGTTGGGGTGTTAATTATGAGAATCAAAGCTCTGAGGTGCTAAAGGTGAAATATTTACAAACTTCAAGGAGCGAATTGCAGTAATGAAGATGCTAAAGTTAAACACAACTGAAGTGGAAAACAACTTTACTAGAAAATTAGCAGAAATATAATTCAGAACAGAAGTTTTAGAGAACAACGCCTTATACTCAGAGGCCCAACCAAAAAGATCGAAACTTTATTAGAGCAAAAGCCTTGTGTGTTTCTCTTCAAGACTTGAACAGTTCAACAACAACTGAGATATGCCCTTCTTCTTCAGCCCAGATCTGTAAGTTCCATGCTTTTTTGCCTTAACCTCATTTGCCTCTTTCTCTTCAATATATTTTGCTCTTCTACTGATTTCCTTTAGTATTTATTAGTAGTGTCTTAGATTGGGGGTCGTGTTTGGTTGGTGAGAAAATGTAGGAAACAGAAAATTAACCAGAAAGTTACTCTTTTTAGTGTGTGTTTCTTGAATTCCATTTTAGCACTTTTTTTGTTCTTCAAAATTTTAGTACTAGATATTGCTATATTTTTTGTGCTATTGAGTATTAATGGTAAGGTATTTGAAAATTTTCCACTCTTTTTCTTTGTGGGTTGTATTCTCGGCAACTGAAAAGAGGGGAGCTTGCTGAAGCATTGAGATGATCAAGAAAGGAAGGCTTTTAATATTTTATTTTTTTAGTTTTCATGCTCCCGTGGAAGAAAGAACCCCTTTTTGAATGATCCATTGAAAAGAGAAATTGAAATCTTTAACGACTGATTGCAGTCACTTAATTGTAGAAGATAATTAGTACTTGTAAAAAGATAACTAAAGATTAAGTTTGTTGCTAATGTTTTTAGGATAAAACCGAACTACAGAATGAGAACATACCTTCTTCTTCTTAAAAAGAAAGTAAAATAAAATGTGAACATAATGGTGTAGTTTCTTTTGGCAAACCTGACAACTTAGCCTATGTTAGATACAAAATTAATTGCTTATTCTTGTTTGTAAATTGTGAGTTGCCTCTCTTTTCCTTTTGGCATTTTTAGCTTAATATCAATATGCTAATCTGTTAAATGTATAACAGATTCAGTGAGTGCTGCTTGTGACAATGTCAAGACCATGGGTACTGGTTTGTCTGCTCCTGTTAATTGTGTTTACCTCACAGTTTGAATGGAAGCAATATGGGAATGATGAACCAAGTCCAAGCACTTCCAAGAAACATCAATATATATCTGAAAGGGAAGAAGCTGTGAAAGAAAAAGTGAGTGCTTATATATGACTTCTTTTCTTTGCCTAGCATAACCCTATCGTGTGTTTGTTTTTGAATTGGAAATCTATGGTTCTTTACGTTTACAAGTTTTAGTTTGAAAGAAATCTCAATGTATTTTTCAATTATTTAGGGTTGTTAACTTCAGGCAATGTAACAAATTTCAGTAATCAATAGGCTATTCTGGTATTTGAATTTGTAACTTTATGCCATATAAGATCTATGGGATTGAGACATTGGTTATCAACATGCCTGAGTTTTGGACACTTAGGGAGTATTGTTGTTGTCAAAACAAAAGATCTGTGGGATTGCCTGAGTTTTAAAGAGCTCAATTACATCCATAACCTTATTAAATTACCAAATCAGAAAGCTCTTTTGAGTTATGGGTTTGCGGTCTTCTTGTTGCTTCAGTCAGGTCTCAGGTACTAATAGCAGTTAATTAGAACAAAATCACATGTTCACATTGCCCTGTTTACGTCATGATACCCTTGCTTTGATTCTTTTCCAGAGAAAGTAAACTTTCAAAGGCAATACATGAATTATCTGGATAGGAATCCTTTATTTGATGCTCTGTGACCCATAACAATGCGGTTTCCTCCGTTAATGGCCTCTGCAGTGTTTGCCCATTCCTCTAAACTACTGGTCTTTGATTTCTCAGGTTGGGCTTTAGAATTGTTTAGAGAAGGAAAGATGCAGAATTATATACCTTTTGAAATTGCAAAACTATCTTGAATTGTGCTTCTTAATTTAATAGTTCTCATCTTTGTTTGACCTAGTTTCCTTCTATTGAGAATGCTTCTCCATTTCCACAACTTTGTCTAGGTTCACATCTCACCAATTGAGAGATAGAGAGGGAGGGAGGGACACCGAATGAGGGAGAAAACTAAAATGTTTTGTTTTCCTTTCTCATGGAATATAGTTTCAAACACCAAAGACAATAGGAAGAACTTTGTGAGTATTCACCCAGTTGTTGTAAACTAAGGGTGCTAGAGGCAGCATAGTGAAGGCATCTTGATGCAGGACGCATATGACCTAAATTTATTAGTTTCCTAATGTATTTGTTAGTTTTCCTAATTCTAGTAGGATTTCTACTTTTCCAGATTTCCAGATTTCTAGTTTTAACTTTCCTATTTTATTTGGGTTAGGATTTCTGTTTAAGCAAGGGATTTTTATCCTATTATGTCTAGGTTTTAGTTTGCTATAAATACCCCCATGTAGTTCTTTAAAATTCGGATTTGGATATTGAGTAAACCTTCTCTTAAAACTATGTGATTTCTGTCCTTCCTTCTCGGTTCTCTGATTTCGGTCCTTTCTTTCGTCCCTTCGATCTATATTTCTTCTTCTCGATCTCTTATATTCTTCTCTGTTCTATTGTTTGAGTGCATAATCTAATACCTACAGGCTGTACTGCATCACATCTGCATGACCCAACATGACTTATTGCATTAGGCCCTTTTTGAATCTTGTTAAGTACTTCAAAGGCAAGTTTCAAATGGGACATTCTTAGTTTTTCTTGGTGTACACATTTTACTACTTATGAGTTATGACATCTCAATTTCCCACAACTCAAGTGTCTCTAGTTTCCTGCTAGGGGTTCAGGTACCGAAACATCACCTTATACTCCTTTCTGTCTCTTGCCATGTATTCTCATGAAGAAAACAAATTCCGGAAAATTCTAATCACTGGGTTTACTTTGTCGTCTGGGGTTATTCCCTTATTCTTTTTTTCTCTCTCTGTGAGTATATATTTAGGATATAGTTTTTATAATGGCTTCATCTTCTAAAGAGTTAACACCTATTTACTACATCTTTACTCTCCAATTTGGCAACTTTAACCAGAATTTTAGGATCAAGTTTATATATGATAGAGAAATTAATTAATTGTAGTGCCCTTCAGCTTGATCCCCTTCTCCATATGCTTTCACTCTAATGCACAAAGCATGTATGTGTGTGCTTGTAAACCCCATTTACTATTTAGATATGTAATTAACCTGGCGTGGATGAATGAAATAGCAACAAGTGTATTGTTTTAATTCAGTTTCTTCTAATTGAAAGAGCAGCAATTTTGCAACTTTAGTACCTGTGGTGATATATTGGCCTAATTCCATAATTTTTGGTAGACTACAACTTAAACCTGGTAGATATGTTCATTAATCTCATTGACTCTCAACTTTACGGCAGATTATCCTCTCTCAAGAGAAAAATATACAGAAACTTAGTGAGCTTGTGCGGAGTCTTCGGGAACAATTGCTACAATGTAGAGGTGAAAATGAGATTGTCAATGGCACTGCAGCCCCTTTGACTGAACTTCTTTCTGAGCTTGAAAGGCATCCACTTTTGGAGGATTAGTCAGAGATCATATGCGTTAAACATCAGTATGTTTGTATCTTTAAGTAGGAGAATCCAAATTCTTTCTTATTGCTTAGCTTAATGTGAAACTACACCCGCTTAGAAGGTGAATTGCAAAGTGCAGTATCAAAACAGTTTTCTTTTGCCAGTATGTTATGAATATATAAAGTTAATATGTTTTACTTTTTTGCCTTTCCCGTCAATATACGTCTTCTGCCGTAGTCACTGGTAGTAATTTGATTTGGTGTCTGATGTCTTGGTAAAATGGTGAATCAATAGTATGGTGTTGTTCGAATCTTGGTGATATTGCTTATGGTATGGTGGTCAGAAGTGAAAACCAAGTTTCATTTTTTGGAGTAAAATAACCAATAAATGCAGAGAATATATATTGGAAAAGCATCATGTTATTACTTAACACCAATTACTTCAACATCCTAACATCAAACAGAGGGAATCTCAGTTTACAAGTAATTTCAACTTGCATCAAATGGGGGGAATCTCATGTTGCAAGTAATTTCAATGTTACACAGAGAGAGTTTCCTATATGCCAAATGTGGGGATTGTTTATCATCATAGTGAACCTTTTCAATAGTTGTGCCGAGTGTTATGAACACTCTTTATTAGCTTTACCCTTTTATATTCTCATCAAAGTTTCCTTCTCAATATAAAACTGCTAAAGAGAAAAAGTACAAATGGGAAGTGTGAAGTTGACCCAGGAAAATTCCTTGCAGCCCTCATCTCAAGTTTATTGTTTGATGTCCTTCAAATTTTTCATGAACCAACCTTGTTGAGATTAATGTTAGGATTTAGTTTTTGGATGAATAGATATGGTTGCATAACGACTCAGGAGCCTGATGAAGTGTAGGCACACGATCATGTTAGAATCCTAAGCTTCTAAGAGGGAAATGTGAGAAATCATTCAAGCAAATCCTAGTTTTGTAAAAGAACTTGAAAAGGCAAACAATTATGGCGGATTGATTACTTTCTTTTCTCTCTTTTTTCTTTCTAAATTTAAGAGAAAGAAGAGGGAGTTAAGATTTGAACTTTTGGGGGCCAAAACATAAAACATAAGCATAAGAACTATGAGGCAACTTCAAAACTAATTGGTGTTATTTAGTACAGAGGGAAAAAGACTCAAAAAAGAGATGCAATCCATAGACAATAATTGTTAAACGAGACATAAGATCCTGTAGAATCTTGTTTCTCTTGCCCAAATCTCTATCAGTAACTAAACAGGTACAGATAATAATTGTGATCTGAAGTTTACAATGTCTGACACTTCAAATTATGGTTCTGTGAAGAGGCATTAAAATGTGACAGGGTTTTAACTTTCTAGTACCTTTTCTGGAAACACCATGATAATGGTGCTTGCAATTCTCTCTCTTACCTACTTCTGCTTTCCATCTCCTTCACATCTCTATGATCATACTTATTGTGTTCTTGTCCATTGTTACAGTTGTATTTTGTTGTACCTATGAAGATTCAAGGATGATTATTTAATTCCCTCTCTGTATCTCGATGTAATTCATCAACCCGTCTTCTTTACTAGTTGTACCGTGAAAATGGTCCCAATTTCTCACTAGTTGGTGATAAAACTTTAGCATGAGGCCCTTATCTGCTGCTGATTCAATTTGTGTAGTTTGTACATTTGGTAGGAGGGTAGGTCATTTCTAAATCGACTTTGTCTGGACACATTCTAGCTGTTCCCCGACCCGAAGTGTATAATACATAGTTGCTTGATGCAATGTGGACAGTTGCTGTGGTAGGATTGTGAAGTGAGATCATGCTATTAACACCCTAACTTCCAAACTTAGCCTGATTGTTGTAGTTGAAGTTAGGACAGGCAAGTTTTATAGGGCAGTTTATCGCACATTCAACCTCTGGCAAAGCAGTAAATAAACCGAGTCAAGTACTATTAGGGTTTTAAGAAACTGACTGACTGTAATATGAAAGTTAACTGTATCGAACCTATTTACAAACCTAACGTTAGAGGTACAAACCTGACCACAATCATAGGTCAAAAGGGCTTTGCTAGCAGGTGCAGTTAAGTCTCGAGGTATTTGGGTACTGCAGGTTGTTTAAATTTGAATTTAAGTTTATACGTTTGACATATATCAGAAGTCAGAACCTACATTCATAGTTCGGGACCTTACAAATCAATCTTAATCTTTTGATTTCTTGGCAAGTGGGAGTTAATACCTTCCTCAAAATAGAAAGAAGACTTGTTTTAGGGAAAAAAAAAAAAAAAAAAAAAGACACAGTTAATACCATCTGTCACATGCAGAATTAAGAGCACACCACTAAGTTCTATTCTATTGAAGCTTTAACATCCCATAAAACTTCATTCAAGCTTTAAAATCCATCAAAGTTTCATAAGCATTTCCTTAATTTTAGATCAAATGAGATAGACAGATAAGTAATCAAGAGCTTTTAGAGTGATCTCTCAGATGCTTAATTTTATTGAAATCAAGTTTTCAAAATCCTGAAGTTTTCTAGAATGAAACTTGGTTATTTTACTCCAAAAAATGAAACTTGGTTTTCACTTCTGACCACCAGAACATAAGCAATATAACCAAGATTCGAACAACACCATACTATTGATTCACCAATTTACCAAGACATCACACAACAAATCAAATTACTACCAGTGACTGCAACATAAGACGTATATTGATGGGAAAAGAGTGGAGCGCACATAACACTATCTATATGTTTTACTTTTTTGCCTTTCCCGTCAATATACATCTTTTGCCGCAGTCAATGGTAGTAATTTGATTTGGTGTGTGATGTCTTGGTAAAATGGTGAATCAATAGTATGGTGTTGTTCGAATCTTGGTGATATTGCTTATGGTATGGTGGTTGTGGGAGTGCTTTTCGTCCCACAAGAATATTCGTCAAAGATTCCTTCTTCCCCTTCGCTTCTCTTTCTCCCAACAAAACCAATCGGAATAAAAGGACTACACCCGGGGGGTGTTGGCCAAAGGCCCTCCTATGCCTAAGTTAGTTCGATTGATTCGTAGAGAAACAATAGCTAAAAAGGGTACGGAGCTCTCGTGGGGAGAACCGAGTGGCCGGAGCGGTGTGTGGTGGTCGGAGCCTTGTGTGAGAGAGAGAAAGAGTATGGTGGCTAGGGTTTGTGAGAGAGAATTTCTGTAGAGTTTCAGATAGAAATTTGGATGTACCTCAACCCTTGTGCATAGCCATGTATTTATAGGAGCATCGGAGGTTAGGGTTTTGGAAGAATAATTTCTTATATGGAAAGGAATTATTCTTCCCTGATTTGGAGAGATTGATGTAATTAGGGATTTGATTAAATCAAATCCCTAATTAAGGCAAGAATAAAATAATTCACAATTAAATAAAATAACTCCCAATTAGGTCAAATAACTCCCAAATTGATTGGCTTAATTATTTGACCTAGGATATGAGATATTTTGCTTCCACAAATGCCCCCAGCTTTTGCATGGCGCATGGTGGCATGGAGGAGGTGTGAATTAACTGTTAGGCTGTCCAGCTGTAACTAGGCTTCCTTCTGTGACTTGGGCTCCCAATTGGAGTGGGCTTTTGACTGTTCTTGGAGTTGGGTTTCCAGTAGGAATGGGCTTGCGACTTCTTCTTGACCTAGGATGCCCAACCTGAATAAATGCAAGGCTTCTCTTTATTCTTCTTCACATCGCAAACTTAACTTCTCTACTTTCTAGCTTGAGAGAGATCTTGGAAAATTTGTACTGCTTGTCGAAAAGAGGAGTTGTCGTGCATCCCAAGTTAAGTCAAGCACGTATATTTTTTCTTCGTCTTCTCTTTTTCGCGACGAGGACTAGCTGGGTGGGACCAAGCTGGTTGTCGTCATGAGTAGTGGCTGAAGACGGTTGGAGCGACGGTGGCCACTGGCGGCTGCTGAGCGAGTATCGAGAGGAAGTTGGTGGTCTGCCCCCTGCCCAAGATGTTAAGATATGGAAGCAGAATGGTCCATACTCTGATGATCAGCCAGCTGGGCAGGAAGAGTGTTCTGCCGAACTCCCCTAAAAAAGGAAGGTTGATGTCAAGTCTTCAAGAAATGGAGTTGCGACTTCACAGGCGAAGGATGTATCTCCGTTGAGGAAGAAATAAGTAGGAGTTGCTCCCCCTTCATCTGCTAGGGTTAAGCACCTCGTTGGCGCAGACAACAAGAAGATTGGCATTATGTGAAACACTCAGGACGTTCCACTCAAGCCTCTTGCTGACAAGCTTGGAAACTGTGATCTGCTCCGTGAAGTGGTCCGCTCGCAAACTAGTTCACTTGCCGAGAGGCAAAGAGATGTTGGTATTCCTCTCTGAAGTTCGAGTCGTTTGCACCAATTAAATGATGGAGATTGAACTGGTAGGTGTGCTTATTCGCCCAACTATCGTGATCCAGTTGTTAAGCCACGAGCAGTGAAGCGTGGAGTTGATTCAGCGTTGTCGACTCCTTTGGAGGTGAAGATAGCGGCGGCTGAGAAGACGGGAGAGTCATTTGTCTGGGTGAAGGGTTCTTCTACAACGTCAGTGGCTGATCCCAAGGTGGACAAGTCCAGCCCTGCAGGGGATGTAGGCGTGTCTGATTTGCTGAAGACGAACCTCTTGTCAAGCCCGTCTGCTTGCTTCAAGCTGGTTGATCTTATCCATCAGGCTGGTGATCTTGAGACAGTCTTAAGTCTTTCCTTGGAAAAACAAAGGGAAACAACATTTCATCTGCTTCAAAAATGAGTAATTTTTGCTGCTGAAACTCGTCTGCTGTTGACTTGGTTAGTCAAAAAGATGCCTACTTCCGTCTTGAGCTCAAAAATGCTGACGTCTCCTTTAGTTATGACAAGCTTCTGGCTAGATTTGGCGCATATCACAAGTCTGTTGAAAAATCCAAGTTTGAAGCTATCACAGATGCGTACAAGCTGAGCTACTTGGACTGCACAAATGGGTCTGCTCCCTTCTATGCCATTGGAGATAAAGACATTGAGACGCTCTGCCTTGACTTGCCCCCCGTTCAACGTGAGCAAGTCAATGCTGTGAACACGGAAAGAGTTAAAGAGCAGGAGGCCGAAGATGTGGTAGTCGAAGAGGATGGAGTAGAGGTGGACGCAGCTAGTGAAATGGTGGAAAATGTCATGGAGCAGGCAGGTGGAGCTGCTGAAGGTGTCGGTGATCAGGCGGATGCCGAAGAAGCTGCAAATT